ATCAAGTTTATCTATTTTTGTACTAATTTTAATTATCAATAATTTAGTGTGTTTTCTTTTTAATGGTTGCTGATTTAATTATAGCAAGGGGTTAAAAGGATGCAATGGATCATCTCAAGGAGGCTAGTTTGAGTAATTGTAGCTTTTTTTATCTACAAAGTATATTACTTTTGTACAACTTAACCAACCATTGCAAGCAGAACGTGATACCTTTTGTGCTTTTTCACGTCCTATTTTTTGTGCATAATCTTATTTCAGATGTAGCTTCTTACTTTCCAACAACGTCACGAATTACATTACAAAAATAATGTCGTAATATTATGTACTCCGTCGTTCATTTACCATCATTTAAAGGCATATGTGTGACACTAGGATAATAACAGGGGTATATATCCATCATGTTAATTAATTGTCTGTCCCTGTGGTGGATAACATCCTTACCGCCGTATGTGGTAGGTAATTACCACCCTTGTGCATATCTTTCACTATCATGATCGAGTTATTTACATGCTACTTAAAGGAAGTCTGCATCCTGCTGGGGAAAGGGAAGCCACTGTGGAAATGTATGTTTTTGTTTCAAACTATACTAAGTACAAGAAGTAACACTAATCTTTATGGAAATATTGACATCTGTTTGATAAATTACTCAACTTTTAACTCTTAATTAGTTCAAAGGAATGTGTATGAACAAATCATTGAACTTATGAGCTATAGAAAGACAATAACAGAGGAGTGAGGACAACAAATCCAACCTAGTAACACAATCTAGCACTGGTGGAGCTAGGAATCTAAGAAAACTCAAAGCTTGATCTGAGTACCGACGTTTCGGTTTGTTTTTAACTTTTAATATAATAACTGACCACTCTGTCCCTCAAAATAATTTATATCTGGACCCCCAATTTTATTCCGTTTTTAATTCGTCCCCAGCCTGGCAGTGGCGAACTTTTACCTTGCTCTTTCCTCCTCCTTGCGTATGTCGTCGATCAAAGGCGCGTCCCCAATCCCTATATATGGCCCGTCGTGTACCCAAAATCAGTTCTAACATCATTCAAGTAATAAAGTACGCTAATATTTATTTACATACGTTCATCTTACAGCTATGGTCATCCCTAGCTTCCAATGGCGGCGTTGGGGACACGTGGACGGAGCACCACCAATTGGCAGCGGAGAAGCGGACCGGAGGAAGGGTGTTGAGGAGAGCCGCCGTGGTGGATCATGGTCAAGTCTGCTACGTGGAGGGCGCTTGCTGCCGTAAGTGTTCGACAAAGTCAGAAATCTGAATGATAGGCTAAAGACAATCTACATTTGAGGGATTCGAACCATGATCATTGAAAAGAGGTTAGTTTTCTCACCGATTAATATGTTTTTTTAAGATTTGTAACAAATTTTAAATGTAAATTTGCCTACATTTGAAAGTTGATGGGGGTATAGCCTCCTTTAGACTTGGTCGTGGCTCTTATGTCAAAGATTAAAAATACTTAACAAACTCTTTTTTCTAACAACTCGAGTTAGTAGAACTAAGTGGTTTAATTGTTCGTTAATAATATGATATCATAACAAGAAGTCGTGGTTTCGAATCATTGTGACGCGATCCCAACATAAACAACGGTTTAGCACAAGGGATGATATGATCAACTTGTGCAAACTGATAGCCTAATGATTAAACAACGACACAAGAGTAGATAACAAATCAAAACTCAAATTATTAAAAATAAATCTGTTCGTTAATATCCTTGGTTAATTAGCGAGCTGTGGAGTGGAAGACGTTGAAGAGTGGAGTCAGCTGAAGAGAATGACCATGCTTGGTCCTTCGTTGGGGAAATAATTGGCCACTGTAGATCGATGTAAAGCAGGATGAGTGGCCATGGCTTGTTTGCTCAGAAGGCGTGGACCTAAGTTGTAAGAAAATAAGTGGTTCACATGTTTCTTCCCAGCGTTCTATGGGACCGAAGAGGGAAAGCGAATCATAATAATATCTTCTTTTGTTTGGATGCTATGATATATACGCGTGGTTTTTTTGCCAAAATATATGTTGTTTGGTATTATTATAATAAAGTTACTACTTGAGAGTTGCATAGGAAGTTTGTGGCCAAGGGGCTGAAATTAGTCCATCTGTGTTGGTTCCTGACCTTTCGAAACCTTGTCCTATGTCCTTGGAAATAGGGAGGGAAAGCGACCTGTTATCATATATATCTATATAATTTTTTTCTTTTGGATTTGTGCATGTGGTGTTTATTTGAAGGGAATGTGAGGGAAGAGTTTATGGTGTCCTAGACTTTATCCAGATATATATATATATTTATTTGTGTATTGACTCAAATGAGTTGATTTAAATTGGACTTGATTCACTAACAACACAAATTTGAAAGCATTACAAATGTATATGGAATTATGGATCTATATGGATCTCATCAAATATCCAAATGGGTCGAGGCAATTACATGAAATTATCTAATGAGTCGACCGGCCCATAGACATTTTTACAAAAAAATAATGATCATCATGGTGGCATCATAGCGCAACCTCAAACGTTCAGTTGTTTCTATATTGGGCTCACACTCGTCGCCGCCGAGGGTTATGATCGAGGTTCTAGAGGCTCGGGTGGCCCTGACACGAGGTTTTCTTTATCCACGTCCGTTGTATCCATAATCGGTGGAGTTAGTTGCTTTGTTGTGTGCTTTAATTTTCAGGTGGTGTACTCAGATAGGTGTTTATTGGCAAGGTGGTACCAAGGTCATGATAGGTAGAGTCAATCAACGAGAGCATCCCAAGATGTCTTAGAGGTGGTGCGATTATGGGGAAATCCCGACCATTTTAATTTGTTGGAGCTCCGAGCCACAATCTACGATGGCCCGCCTATGTGGGCATGGAAACCAATAGCGTAGCTCGTTTAGTGGCCTCCCAACCGTATTTCAGAATACGATTTTCGTAACTGGCTTTGATCAAGCATGTAATAGTAGTAGTTGAAATGCTTTGGTTATTAAAGTAAATAGTAGTTAATTAATGTGTTTTGATTGATTCACTGTCTTAATCATCTAAGTAAGTACACATGCCTAACTTTTTTTTTTATGTGGTAGTCGAGGACCCTAATATAGTTTCCCCACCACCACATAGACCAATTAGGCATATTAGCCGACGCTCTCAAAGACTGAAATATAAGCAAAACATCCCAAAAAAAGGCTTAAGGGTCACCACCATAATGACTGCCCCACAAGACCAAAAATTTGATTCCTTTTTCTTTTGATTGTAACTTGTAGCAGGTAGGGCTCCTTCTCTTCCCTTCCCTTTACTTTCCTCTTCTGTCACTCTTCCGGCCGGGTACTCATCATGGGACAAGTACAGCATTGATCACTAAATTTAAGGACTCTCAACAGATTGGTCACCATACTCTTAATCCATATCGCACTTTAGTGACCATACATGTAATTGACCCCCTCTTTTCACCCCCAAAAAGGATAAATTAAAGCGTTGAACGACAGTCACCCTGTTCCCGCCAGCCAAGCAATATTTGGGCCCCACTTTTACAGGTTGGCACAACGCGTGGCACCAAACCCTATATATACACTCCCACCATTTCTCCCACAAAATCCAATCACACCACAATCCTAAATCCTAAATCCCAAACATAATAATAATAAATCTAACATCGGATATGGACTTCAGCACTGATCAACAGACTCAGTACTACTCCGAGTCATCCTCATCCCCAGTGTCCAACGCCACGACGTCGTCGGAGAACCACGGCCACCAGCTGGCGGCGGAGGTGCCCAAGAAAAGAACCGGAAGGAGGGTTTTCAAGGAGACGCGCCACCCGGTCTACCGGGGCGTGAGGAGCCGGAAGGGCGACAAGTGGGTCTGCGAGGTCCGGGAGCCCGTCACCGGGACACGTGTCTGGCTCGGGACCTACACCAACCCGGAAATGGCGGCCCGGGCTCATGACGTGGCAGCGCTGGCGTTCCGCGGGAAGTCGGCCTGCCTCAACTTTGCCGACTCCGCCTGGCGCCTCCCGGTTCCGGCTTCCACCGACCAGATTGACATCCGGCGGGCGGCGGCCGAGGCAGCCGAGATGTTTCGCCCGGCGCCGAGGTGGCGGCGGTGGATGAGCCGGAGTCTAGTGCTGGAGCAGCAGCTAGTGGCGGGGCTGATCAGAGTGATGGTGACGTGTTCAGTTACGTAGAGGATCTGGAGCCGGTGGAGGAGCTGCCGGAGTTGCTGTCGGAGATGGCGGAAGGGCTGATCCTGTCGCCGCCGCCGCCGAGCTACGGAGCCGAAAGCGACGGGTGGAACTACGTGGAGAGGCGCGGTAATGATAATAATGATGATGATGGTGCATTGGTGCTGACTATGATTGGTCGTTGTGGAATTAGTAGTTGGTTTTCGGTATAGGATATTTTCTGCGATTGCTCTCAACTCTCAAGTTTTAAGCAAGCTGTTTGTGGCCTTATCTGTTCAAGAAAAAAAGTTCGTGGCCTTGTCTGTTCAGAGGTTTTGAACCAAGTAGTCAGACAAATAATTGTTTCCAGCATCTTTTTGTTTTTGTTTTTTCCTCTTTTTCAAAATTCTGTCCTATGTTTTTGAAGGGGTTGAAATGTATATTTATCGGTTGTTTGTTTACATTTTACCCGGCTAAATTACACGTTTGATCACTCAAATTATACAAATCTTTCACGTTTGCCACCCGAATTACTTTTCTTTCTTATTCGCCACTAACTTTACGAATCGTTTCACGGTTGGTCACCGGCCGTTACACTCCGTTAAGTTTGTCCTACGTGGCAGTCAACTATAAAGTTTGACTGTTAACTAGATGACGTGGAAATTAAAAAAAAATAATAATAAAATTTTCTTTCCACCTTATCATTGCACTTATTTTGTCTATATAATTTATCATATTAATAATTTAATAAAATTTAATAAATTACAAAAATGGGTAAATCCAAATGCTCATCATCCTCACCCTCACCATCCACTCCATCGTTTTCGTCGCCGTCGCTCGAAACGGCATGGCGGATATCATAGCCAACGATCAAGGCAACCGGACCACACCTTCCACCGTGGCCTTCTCCGTCGCCGATATCGAGCGCCTCGTCGGTGAAGCCGCCAAGAATCAGGCGGCATTCAACCCTCGCCGGACTATCTTCGACGCCAAGCGCCTAATGGGGAAAAAATTCGAGGACCCAGAAGTTCAGAGGGATTTGAGGTACTTACCCTATCCCGTGGTCAATCGAGGCCGGAACCGTACTTCGAAATCGAAGTGGATAAATCAGAAGAAGAAGGGCAACGGCTTGGCTTTCATCTTAGTTTGAAATGCAATAAACAAGAACGAATTAAGCAGCAAAATCTCTTATATATTTTTCATTTTTATTTCCTTATTCAATATAAACAGCTAGCTCTGCTCAAATCAAACAAGGGAATAAGATTCATTCCAGAAAAAGGAAAACAGAAAACAGAGAAAAAAACAAAGTGAACGATGCATGGGGTCCAATCATCCAACAGATGGAGAGAAACCAGCAAAAAGAAGAACTCACAGAGCTCTTTTCCATGCAGATGGCATAAAGAAACAGGGCCGTGGCGTTAGCAAAAATGGAAGGAAATGTGGCGGGGAAGGAAGAGACGTTTGGTTATGAATTTGCCACTCGTGGCTTCTTTCTTCTTCTTATTTTTCCCAATCGTCTTCCTCTACCCATCACCTGAGCAGAGAGTAACCGTGCGCCGTCTTCGTCAACATCCTCCCAGATCCGCCATCGTCAACATCTCCCGTACCGAGCCCAATCCTAGCCTTCCGGTCACCCCTGCCTCCTCGTTCTGCCTGGCGATTCCCCAAATCAAAGAAGGCATGAAGAAGGCTTGCGATCACCGACGAAGGCGACGTGAGGACCAGTCTCTTCTTAGGTGATGCGAGCACAGCTCGCCTCCAAAATCGTTGATCCTCGATTACACACTGCCAGGGCATCGTTCCGGGGACGAACATGTGACAATCAGTAGGAGAGGTCGAGAGCAACGATAGGTGGAGTCGATGAAACTCAGGAAGCAGGCCGAGAGAAAGAGAAGAATAAATATGGGGGTCTTGATTTAGAATCTTGGTTTGTTCTATAATGTTTGATTTGTTCTGTGAGGGTGAGGATGATGAGCATTTGGATTTATCCATTTTTATAATTTATTAAATTTTATTAAATTATTAATATGATAAATTATATAGACAAAATAAGTGCAATGATAAGGTGGAAAGAAATTTTTATTTTTTTTTATTTTTTTTTAATTTCCACGTCATCTAGTTAACAGTCAAACTTTATAGTTGACTGCCACGTAGGACAAACTTAACGGAGTGTAACGGCCGGTGACCAACCGTGAAACGATTCGTAAAGTTAGTGGCGAATAAGAAAGAAAAGTAATTCGGGTGGCAAACGTGAAAGATTTGTATAATTTGAGTGACCAAACATGTAATTTAGCCCATTTTACCCAGCTGTTTTAAGTTAAGTCCTTTTTTATTGTTACTAAGTTGTGAATGGTGGTAGCCTAATAGTGTAATTTGCAAATTATGTATCAGGGTTTGTTAAAGTGACATAATATTTAGACAGCAAAAAAAAAAAAAAAAAAAAAAAGGAGTAAAAGCAGTGATAGTGATAACTTAAAATGAAATGAACTGGCGGGTGTCTTATTGTTATGTCTCTTTGCTTCAGATGTATTGAATATCATAGATTTGATTTAGGTCAAGATATATATAGAATATAGTTGCTTCTGTTTGTAGTTACAGCAAGGGATTTCACCTCTCTTGATTTTCTTGGCTAGTTGTTGTACCTTTTTCTGGATAGTTTTCTTTCTTTTGCTTTCTATTTTCGCTTAATTATTAAACATGTTTGGTTGGGTGTGCACCAGGGCATCTCATTGGGCCGGGTACGAGCTAGCATGGCACGAGATGGATTCGAGAAGATGGTATTTGACTTGCCTAGAGAAACTAGGCAGGTCAAAAACGCCTCACTTAGGTCCTAGACGGTGGAAAAGGCATTAAGAATGCTTCGGTAACATGAGGCGGCACTTTAACGTACAAGATGATGCTCAAACAAACCGAGACGATTTTGAGATGGAGATGCTCACATTGCGAATAACTCACACAAATAGCACACTATCATGCGAATCAAGATTCAAAGTAACGTTGCAGGGTTACTTTTGACGTTCTCATCAAGTACCAAAACTACTAAACTAGAGCACAATTGAAACATCTGAAAGGGAAATATTTATGATTTGCCGCATGAGAAATTTTACAATGCTAAATAGTATTGGTGTTATAGGTTTTTGCCTCTTTGGTACAACTTAAAATTGTACATTTACGTTATGGTACAACTTCAGATTGTACCTATATTTTTTGCACAAATTCTTTTATGGTACAACTTGAACTTGTACCTTTATGTGATGGTACAACTTCAAGTTGTAAAGTTGTAGCAAAACATAATGGTACAAATTGCTTTATGGTACAACCTAAACTTATACATTTAATATTATGGTACAAGTTTGAATTGTACATTAAACCAGCAATGCTATATAGCATAGTAAAAAGAAGTGCTCTTGCCGCAGTGTTTTGGCGAGTTTAGTCCCATATCATATCGATGAGCCCGTACTTGTGCTATGGAGTATGGACTGGAAAGTTGTGAAACTTGGAACAATTAACACAACGCGCAAAACAGTTAACAGGCCGGACCAGTAGAACTATAAAAGAGGGCCCAAACCATGCTGGGCTAGATTGAGGCAGACCTGCGTGACCAGATTCATGCTCCCCCTCTATGGGATTTCATTTTGTATCCCTTCCCCTCGCTCGCTTTTATGTAGGATTGTTAATGACCAAACTATTTGTGAGCTCGGTTTCGAACTTGATAAAAGTTCGTTCGATTTAATAAAAATTCTTTTTATTTATTAACGAACCGAGTTTAATGCAACTTTGTTCGGCTCATGAACTAGCTCGATCAGATGGCTAGTTGAGTTCGACTCATGAACTATCTCATTTTGAGCTGATGCGATGTCTCAACATTGTAACTTTCGAGCCAACTTGATTACTGCTTATGAGAAAATCGATCTATATCTTATGAGTTGGTTTATTAATTATGCATATAGTTATTAAATTGTATATCACACCTCATGTGATGTTTAATAATTTGAGTATGTGAGTAAATTTGTCTCGTATATGACATGAAGATAAGTTAATCATATATATCATATATGACAGATATATTAGGGTATTTTATTATCTTAGAGTTGAGCTCGAGCCAAAATTTTGATCTTAATGATGAACCAAGATACAATAATGAGCTGGCTCGTGTTCGGCTCTACTCAATTCCTTCATAAACGAGCCGAGCTTGAGTTTGGTTCGTTTATAAATGAACCAAACCTGAACAAGACAAAGCTCGGTTCGACTTGACTCATTAAAAACCCTACTTTTATATCATTTCGCTATACAACTTTGATTTCCGTTATGTTTAAGGCCGCAGATGAGAAGAGTGGAGTTTTTATCTAATTTGAGCTCATCTCGTAAATAAATGAGTCAAAGTCGAGTTTGGTTTGTTTATGAACATTGGCTCATGTTTCACTCGACCTTGATTCATTAATGAACTTAAGAGTTGTAATCGGATTCGGCTCATCATTCAACTCGCTAGACAGGCTTGAACTCGAGTATCATATTATTTAGTTCATAAACTTTAATTGTTCATGTCATGTATTTTAATAGTAATTACTATCTAAACAATCTATAACATGAAATTTCTCTTTAAAATTATGAAGGAGACAATTATGCTCAAAGTCTTAAACATCACATGTAGTGAGACACACAACAAACCTATAAATTATGAACAAGCCAGCTCTTACAAGTTGACTCACTCATAAGTGGCTAATCACATCATTTCTCAAAACATGCTAGCTCACAAAGTCAAACTTAACATTCCACTAAGAAGAGCTAGCTCATTAGTCCTGCGAGTCGAACAAGATTCAGCTCAAGTCAACAACAAACTGTGTCGAACGAATTTTCTGCGAATCAAACACCAACTCGCACATAAGCAATTTGACTCATTTGTCACCCTAACGACACATACTCTTTTCAGTTTTGGCAACTTCTCATGATCTCATCCCCACTTTGCATATCAGAAACTGACACCATTTTGTACAGAAACAGAGTGCCAAGTTTGTGACGTAACTTTCGCGAAAAGGGCCTTTCTAAAATTAGACTTCATGACTATATGCTCCATCCATTCACTCCAATCATTACAGTCCACATTGAAGTCGAAAAAGGACCGCGTAAACCTTATCAAAGACGATGCCAAGAGTCCTAAATCGCTAAACCATCTCTGCTTTTGGAATGTTTCAGAAAGTTACACCAACAAATCCCATCACCAAATCTAAATTGGATACCCGATATATATATTGCCACCAACACTCTGCTCTCTGCCTCCCTCTGTTCCAATAATAGAGAAAAACAGAGAGAGTAACTGTCCGAGAATACTTACATCAAAATCTACAAGTATAATCAAATGTACGAATCACTATGACAAAATCAAACACAGTTCCCAGCTACAAAAAATCCAACGACTAAAAAGAATAATCCCAGAGAATCAATTGATCAAAACAGCTCTCCTCTGCTTCCTCTGTATAAGCCGGGGGAGGGATTAGAAGACCTTCCGCCAACCCGGCGATCAACCCGTGAACATCGAATATCTCTTCCTCGTCCACAAAGCAACAACTTCCCCTCGTCCCACCACCGTTACAATCTTCGCCACAATCCAAATCCTGATCGGACCCGGATTCCCAGCTGGGCGTCGCGTGGGCGGCACGGGCACGGAACATCTCCGCCGCCAGAGCAGCCGCCTTCCTGATCTCCCCTGCCTCCGCCGAAACCGGCAGGGGGAGCCTCCACGCCGAATCCGCGAAATTGAGACAGGCGGATTCTCCGCGGAGTGCCAGCGCCGCCACGTCGTGAGCCCGGGCCGCCATTTCCGGGGTCGGGTAAGTCCCCAGCCAAATCCGCCGCGAGTTGTTGTTGGGATCGCGGAGCTCGCAGACCCACTTGTCGTTGTTCCTCCTCCTCACTCCCCTGTAGACCGGGTGCCGCGTCTCCTTGAAAACCCGCCGACCCGCCCGCTTCTTCGGGTAATCCGCCGCCACTCTAACCGCCGCCATCTCGTTACAACAAAAAAAAAAAAAAAAGGAGGCAGACTTTCTCGAAATGAAATCTTTATGGGTTCGTATTGGGAAGTTGAATTAGCTGTGGGGAAATGAGATGGGTTTGAAGTAAAAGTTATGGTGATGGGTTTCTAGATATAGTATGGGGGGAACCGAATTTGAAGTGTCGATTTGGTGGGAAGAGAGAGTAGTATAGCGCAGCTTAGCTACGACATGGACACGGTTGGGACAAGGAGAAGGGAAAGGGAAGCCGTTAATTTAAGTTAAAAGGATCATGTAAGACTAGTTTCTCTTTTTGGGATGTTTCCATTTGACTGGTTGAGTTTGACGTTTTGGCGGGTCCCGGGGCTGGAAGGACAGCTGCGGGGTGACGTGTTGGACACGTGTCTCGGCGAAGCTATCAAGTATGTCTTGATTAAGAGGAGCATGATGAAAGTGAAGTGACGATCCACGTGTCGTTTTGAGAGATATTTTGTTGGTTTTTTGTTATTATAAATTTATAATAGTGATTAAGTTGTTGTTTTTTTTTTTTTTTGTAGGGGGGAATGGTTTTTGTAGTTTTGTGGGGAGTTTTTAACAAATGTTGAGGATGGGAGCTTTGAGGTCCTACTCCTTGTTTGAGAAGTAATCTAACCAACAGAAAAAAGATGAGAGGTTATGGGAGAATGACAACTTTATCATTTTATAAGCTATCTACGTTGTCACACAACTCACAAGTTTGGACATTTGCACACCCACGTATTATAAAACTGTGTACGTGCTAAGTGCATCTAGTCAACTATTTAGCTTCGAGAGAGAAGTATCAAGTTCAAAAATTGGAAAATAATAATGAAAGATTGAAAATAAGGTACGTACCTAATCTGCTAAGTCATGGAAATTATTTGAACATTACTCACGGTGTTATCATTCCCAATTTCTTCTCTCGTGGAAAGAGAAGAAATAGTTCAATGACCATTTCGTTGTCGGAATTAACAATGCTCTACACTATCACTAATTTCAAATAACAGTTGTCGGCATATTAAAAGAAAATATGTCCAACAACCCCTACAATAGATCAATTAGGAATCACTCCCAGAAATGTCATATAATCAATTGATTGGTATGAAGCTAACTTAATAATATGATTCTTTGTTCAAATACATAAGTGTTGGGCTATAGGGCGCCCAGGCCCAAGCGCATAACATGGGGGCGAAGGAGCAGGCCCGGGTGAGAGGTTAGGGCTCAGAGATGGACGGATCATGGGGGACATAGACCGGGGCTCAGCGGCGGATCCAGAACACAGAAGAGCACTAGGCCGCATTTCACTAGAAAATTAGAACTGTAAAAAAATATAATGATTATAGTTTTTTGCAATATAAATTGTACACGACTGTATTTTAATTTAGGGAATGCATCAATAATGAAGTCTACATCCATACCAATAGTATATACTGTTTCAAATAAAATACTTGAGCAATCGGCGAGAAATCCATCGCTCATTTTGTTGAGCAAATCAGTTCTCACATGTTTCATTGTTAAAAAGATTCTCTTCGTAGTAGCTGTTGAAAAGAGCAGCATCAACACTAGATAAATCAATCGACTAATCAATTTGCATTGTGTGTCCATCCCTGCACACCAGCTGCTTTAGTAAATTTGTAAGGGAACAAACCTCATATTTCTTTTAGTCTTTTACGTTTTAAACTTTTTAGAATTTTAGGTTTCATTGTTTTTTTAAGACGTATAATCTTTGGGGCTCAAATTTCTAGGCTAAATTTAGAATAGTGATTTGAATATGTTCAACTTGATAATTTTTCTAGTTAAACCCAATCTTAATTATCATAGAATAACACTAGGTCGAATGTCTAAAATCAAAAATTTCATAAGGACTATAGTAACTACGGATCCAGAGGAAGGCTGGGCCGGGGCCTGGGGTGGCCACCCCCTGAATCCGCCAGTGTCGGGGCTGTGTTACATAGGCCCAAGCCCACATTAGAACTTGGAGAAGAGGTCAAGGGCAGGAGGCAGGCCCAATGAAAGGGGATAGGGCGCATAGGGACAAAAGTAGGTCGGGGACCAGGCATCTAGGAAGAGCGGGAGGCGGAGAACGCGCCACCTGGCAGTGTGGTCCTTCCGGGCGCCTAAGCAGAAGCCGCCACGTGTAGACGCCCGACCGTTGGTCCGTACCAAGCATTTAATGGCGGGCTGACGTGGAGCTGAATTCTAGGAGCTCGGTCTGGACCTCAACGAGTATAAATAGCACTCGGTAGGTGACATTTACGCAGGTTGGCTTCTCTCACTAATAACTGATAGAGCACTTATCTCTCTAGAATTGGCTCTGACTTGAGCGTTGGAGTGCTAACGGGCACCGAGAGGCCCCTTAGGCGCTCGTCTGTGCAGGATCTGGGCGCTCTTGCGGAGGTCACAAGTTGTGGTTCGGAAAGAGGTGGGACCGAGGGGATTGACGCACAAACAATAAGTTAATATACTCTTTGGGGGAAAGAGTGGGGAATCGACTAAAAATAGCAACTTACATACTTTCTATTATAGGGTATTGTTTATATCGAGTGGGAGGATTGACGTGATGCATGACATGCAACCTTGGGAAATCGGTGGGGAGATTTATTATGAAAAAACTGCTAAATAATTATGCTGATTTGACTAATAAACGCATAAAGTTGCACACTTCCACAGAGAAAAAACAGGACGCAGGCCGAAGAGAATCCAGCCAGCCTACCAAGTTACCTTTATTTCAGGACGTGGACACTAACAAATAACAATTTTCGACCAAAAAAAAATAATAATAACAATTAACAAACAAGAAGCACGCGGTGAAAATTACTCAATCGGCGATGTCCCAAATAGTAGGCTCTTCCTGCTGTTGGGCCTTGTGTCTGATTTCTTATGTCTCTTCTCTTGGGCCGCAATTCACAGCGCAGCCAAGGCCGCAATATTTCCTTGGACTGGTCTTCATCTAACTCGGGCGGTGTAGATACATTTGTGGGGCGCCTAACACGAGATATCTCGATCTCACGAAGCCCACCTTTCATATCTTCAAGAAAACAAATGTACAGGCGACTATGCTTGGAGCGTTATTTGGGCTGCATGCGAGCCCAATTCATTAGATGGGTTGGCCCACACAAGAAATAATGAAAACTACCTTATTTTTCTCCATACAATCTAGCATTGTAGGAAACCCAATCCGACAACACAAGTTTAATTGCAAGGATGGTAACAGGTCAGTTGCATGCGAATATTGCATATCATTATCCTACCAAGCATAGTTTGGATTTTACCGGTACAACTCATACAAAATTCGGGGAGTATTCAGTTCACAGATATGATTTTACCCGTATGCATAGACATTTTAGTACATACTCCAAATATAAGTGTACAATAGGGTGAAAATAATTATATTGGACTTTCGGTCCTATTCTTTACATATAGACCCCCTAAATTAGTTTAGGAATATTGATGGATAGAACCGTTATTATGAACAAATTAATTTTAATAATTCAAACCATAGAAAAATTTTAACGAATGAAATTTATACCTTACATTTATATATTTCCACCCCATGAAACCAACATTCACTTATTAGAGCGATAAAAAATTCTCTTATTAGCTATAGTTCGTGTTTAAAATTGAATTGAATCATAACATTGGGGTTATTTGTATTAAAAAACACTACCTTTTGACAATCAGAGACCCTAATATCTTCTTAAGAACCAAATCAATGTGTGTCAGTAATTGAAGCTACTGGGAGGGATCCAATCCAATAATACATTTGCTACCATCCTTTGTAACAAAATAGTAGAAGATACCAACTTGGATCTTTCATAAAATTTTGAGTTATTGAGATGTACTCGTCCACAACACAGTTGTTGATTCAGATAATGAGTTCATAATAACATTTTTTTTATTCACTGTTATAGTAAAATCGTCCCCAAAGATACTACACTAAATCACTAACGAATTTCGTGATCGGATAATTTTACACTAAATATTAAAATCAAAGTAAAATATATATAATATTGAAAACAATTTTATTCACGCATAATAATTTGATTCGTCAATTACCAAAACAAAACAAAAATGATTCGTCACACGACAAACATCGGGCATCCCATATAGCTAGGCAATATAAATTTGACCGGAAACTCACAGATATTAGATGATCAACCACAATTCTCTACCAAGTGAACAACTCCAGATTATACTCTAATAATGACTTGGATTTTACCGTCAGTTACGAGTCATTCTTTTTTTCTAATTATTTACAACTGCCAACTGGTGCCTTTTTGTTTCTGTCGACTCAAATTGAACCAACTTGTCTCCCATTTGTCTATATTATTGTATACAGTGTATTATATTAAATTTCTCTTGAGCTGTTGATTCCCCAAAAGACCTCGGTTTAATTTAGTCAAGTGGCCCGGATTAATATTGGATTATACTAATCCCAACTGTCAGATTTAGTCAGTTGAAATTAATTAAGAAACATTGTTATGATGTGGTTCCCGAGCTTCCACATCGTCGCATACCCCAATTGGGAAAGAAATTAAGATCCAATAGACTGCCATTTCAGTTTCAATTTTAATATATAATTACTAGTCTAGTTGCGACCTTTTTGTTCCATGACCCAAATTGGACTTGTGGATGATGATCATATCTAATGAATCAACTTTTAACATATTTCCAGCAAATTAACTAGACGGTTCAATGCTTACGATATGATTTTTTTATATCGTTTACTTTTTTTCCTCAATTCTTACAATCGATCGTTGTGAGAAAATTTTTTCTTTGATCAACGGTAGGATATTATAAGCACGAAAAATTCGTCACCAATACCGAAAAGCACTAATCTTACAACCTTATTGCTAGTAAGGTTGTAACATTAAAGGGGTAACATTCGTCATAAAGTCCGGTTCCTTCTTCATTCAAACATGGCCCGTTCTGGAAAATGGTCCACCGGCACTGGTGGAACGCCGTTCGTCCCTTAATTTTCTCATCGTATACGTCGAAGCGTACTTCTTCCCGCCGCTGCAAACCCACTGAAACGAACAGAAGAACAACGTCGTCGGGATATAATTCGATCGAGCAGAAGGATCCATTGAACCCCAGCGTTTTTTCTCCGATGTCGTCGTCTTTGGACTTGCAATGCGCTGTCAGCTGAACTTTGAGCCCGTTGGTTATTTCCACTGTCGTTTTTGAAGGTAAGCGCGTTCCCTTTCTCTGCCGTCGTTGTTGGTCGCTATATATAGCTAGGGGTGAAGGGTATTAATTAAGTATATATATAAAATTCGGGATATCGCATACCTTAAGTATGAAAATGCTATTTAGACCTCGAATTAACAGGATTTTTGGGCATGATATTATACCATAACCCTTAATGAGTAAAGCCTAGGTTCTAATCATCTAGACCTCGAATCATAACCGTCGATTATAGTTTCTAATTAAATTGATCTTGGGGTACAAGGTTTAGAGAATTAAGACCTACTCTGAAATTAATAAATCGTGTTATTTTTAGTCACTAGAAAAAATTAATATCAATTTTGGTCACTCGAATTACTAAAACATATCACATTTAGTCACTCTCCTGTTACCCTTCGTCCAACTCTGGTCACTCGAATTACTTTTTTTACGAATATCACTCGAATTACTGAAACACGTCACATTTAGTCACTCTTCGTTTAGCCTCCGTCCAACTCTATTAACGGAGTTGGACGGAAACTAACCGGAGAGTTTAAATGTGACATGTTTCAATAATTCGAGTGAGCAAATTTATATTAATTTTTTCTAGTGACCAAACATGACATGATTTAGTAATCTCAATGACCAAATGTGACATTTACCCTATATATTATATATATAAACTTTATAGGTAGATTTCTCTCAATTGAATTTTTTAAATTTTAAAATCACCAGTAGGAAAACTTCTTATAGGTCATGTTCTTCGGTTAAATAGTATCCATTAGAGACACTTTTCATACATCAAGACATCTTTTTCCACTCTTTTAACTCTCACTTTCTTTTCAACAAGATCATTACAAACATTTTCACAATCTTTCTTGTCGAAACTCACTATTAATAAGGTGGTCATAATTATGATTGAAGCTTATACTTCAATATTGCTCAATCAAACAACAATGTTAAGTGGCCCATATTTTGATTATATTATTATAACCCCATCTGTAATCTGTTAGATTTGGTTAGTTCAAATGAATTAAGAAACATTGTTGTGATGTGGTTCCCCAGCTGCCACATCATCTCATACCCAAAATGGGGAAGAAGAACTAAGAGAGTGCCCTTTGAGTTTCAATTATATCATCATTAATCTATTTGGACCCTTCTTCTTTGCTCCAATTTGAGCTTGTAGTGATCATATCAGCTTTTAAAATATTTCCAGGAAACGAAAACTAAAATGAACGTTCATAGGAAGAAAAAAGCCAAACAAAATACCATATTGCACAAACTGAATTGCATTATCCTCACTAAACTAGTTTTTTTTTTTTGCCAATAGTAACTTCCTTAAACGAAATCCTAACTACACATCATTAACACACCGGCCGACATACCAAACCCTAATCTTACTACTTTATTGATGATCAGATTAATCACAACACACATTAAAAACAAACACTAGCTAGCTAACTGTCAAAAGGGTAACAAATGTCATACACTTTGGTGCCGCCATCATACAAACAAGGTCCTTTCTCGTAAATGGTCCACTGGCAGTGAGTGCACCGCTCATCATCCCTGCTCTCAACATAAATGTTGAACGACTTCTTGCCGCCACTGCCATCCCATTCGAACGAACAGAAATACAACGTTGTTGGCAGAACGTTGGGGTAGAACTTCCAGCTGAAAAACCCATCCGTTGTCAACACTTTTTCTCCCAGATCGTCGTCTTTGGACTTGCAATGCGCCGTCAGCTGCACCTTGAGCCCGTTTGTTACTTTCACAACCGTTTTTTCGATGAGCCCTTCCTCTTCTTCTGCCTTCGTTGATGATCCCGTGAGCAATAGGATTGCCATCATAAGCCATGTTGTCGTCGCTATAGATGCTGCTGCCGTCCTCATTGGAAGGCTTTTTGTTCCGCCGGTGAGTTAGTTGAGTAGTGATTTTCGTTGCTATAGGGGGTGAAGGGTATTTATAGGGACGGGAGGGAGGGGTAAAGAGTTGTATGTATGGAGTAGTTTAATTGGGTTTTGACCTTTTTTTTCTTCTTGGTATGGGTAATTAATATGGTGATGGGATTTAATGACTATTGTGATTGTGTGTCTGACTAATAATTAAGATGAATTAAAGAATGAAATCTCTACAGCTACTCGTGAGCAACTTTACAGATGAATTTATTTTGAACTGTTGAGAATAATTAATGAGATGACATGGAAATTTGTAACTACTAATTTTGAAGAGTTTTATGTCAAATTATATTACTGGTTGTAACGACTAACGAGGGCCGTGTCATCAAATTTCTTATTCGTGAATACATTAGAAGGTGTAATACGATGGCCAAATCCCTTTGATCACAAGGTCATCTCATGCCAAGAATTTTCATCTATAGTACTAAAATGTGTCGAGAAGTAGTCCATCTCTCGAGTCTAGATTGGATACTTCTTGTCCATCGAGAAACAATACAAGGCATGCAATTTTGTGAGCCTTGACACAAGTGACATGTACACAAGTATACAAAGATAACTGTATATGATAGAAGAATCACAAAGCTACATAGATCATTAAAAAATATGATCTATATAAACTATTCGATGTAATCTGTTCAATTGAAAGATGAAAAACTTAACTCACTCATTCATCATATAAGTAAATATTTCTCATTCCCTCACAAAAGCTAATATCTTTTGAACTCCTTCTTTTGTTCACTTTCTTCATTAACTTCATGGTCGAAGGATGTTTGTGAAGCTCAGCGTTTTAGAAAAATTTTACAAAGCACATTCTTCGGCTAAACAACCACTGGAGGACACCTTGCTTATTCCTCAAAACTAACTATATCTTCAATAAAACCATGTCACATTCTTAATTATCGAACCCAAATTAAATTTCAAGGCTCAACAATTAAGGTAGATATTAACAACCACCAAACTTAAATTTTAAGACTCGATCAAACTACAATGCTAAGCATATGGTTGAGCGAAAAAGTTAAAATGCTAACAAGCCCTTTTGTTAGCAGATACTAACTCGTATCCAAAATGGCTGAACTAATATCCACCTTATAGACAAATTATGGCTACTGAAAATATTTCGATAAAACTAGAAAAATTAGGAAGAAAAATAGATGAATATCAAGGAAATCTAATAAATATATTAGAAGACAATAATAAGCAATTAAAATCAATATTAGAATATCAAGGTAATGAAAAACAAAAAGATATATATTCAGATTTAGAACACGCTAAGGATACAATTACCAATATAATAGTGGATATAAAACAAAGAGAAATAGCAATGGGAAAAACAACTCCAAATTCTAAGGAAATAGTATTACCGGTAGAAGATCTTAAGGAAATCATTATTAAACTTCAAGAAATAATAATTAAATTAGATAATAAAAGAAGCATTACAATTGAAGATATAAAAGAATATTTGAATGAGCATAAATCAGGAAAATCTATCCCATTAACTATCATGGCACCCTACAAACTTCTATGACTAGTATTGACGAACAGATTAATAAATTAAACGATTTACTAGCCGCAATTACTATTCAATCAGAACCAGAAATAGAAGAAAATATAGAAAACGATAAAATAGTTCTTGACTATAGTAGTGACGAAAACCCCTATAAAAATTACACAAATACAAATTACACGAAAACTGAAACTGAGGATCAAGCTGAAACATCACGGAAGCGTGATTTTAATGACTATAAAGATGGTCAACTATTTTCTGATGAATACTTATATAAAAATTCGTATACACCTCGCAAAGGGGGAGGATGGAGTAAAATACCTCAATCTTACATACCAAAATATTCCACCACTAGTTTTAACAATCCTGATATATTAGATCTTGATTGTTGCGTCAACCCATTAAAAGAATTAGAAGACTGGAAAAATCGAACAGGATTACTAATACAAACGAATGAAGATCTAAAGAAATTACACCCTAATGAAATGTTTAATTTCTTAATATATAAAACAACTGGGGCAGTTTATCATTATCTTAACAACATGGATATTCCTACTAAGACAACGTTATATGGAACAACAGATGCGACGAATACCTTTGAAAAAGTCTTAAATGCTATAACTCATGAATTCTTAGGACGACATCCTCGAGAAGATAAACCAAACACAACCATAAGTCAACAAGCTATTTGGCATTTAACTAATCTTAGAATTTGCAACATGTGCTTCTTAGAACCATTTATTTGTGAATTCAGAACACATTATTATCAAGTCACCCCTTCGATAAGAAAAGAGATGGATAAATTACTTTATGCTAAATTACCACCTAATGTCTCTGAAAAAGTTGAAGCTACCTTTAATGAAACTTTGGCTAAAGAAGAGATACCAAATACATTAGGAGGACGAATATTAGTTTTACAAGAATGGCATAAACAAGCTTGCAATAAGGAAAAACTAAAGAAAGAAGCTAAAATTAAACTCTGTTGTGAACAAACAATGGACAGAGTTGGAAAGTATGGGTGTAATGATGATCGTAAAATCATAAAAACTCAGAAAAAATATAGAAATTATAAAAAATGGAGAAAAATACCTTACAAAGAATATAGAAAAAATAGGTTTAGAAAACCAAATAAATATTTCAGAAATAAAAAACAGTATAAACAAAAATCAAGACAACAAGAATACTGTCCTAAAGGAAAAACAAATTGTAGATGTTGGTTATGTAACGAAGAAGGACATTACGCAAATAGATGTCCTAAGAAAAATACTAACACTAGAAAACAAGAAGTCCTTAGATTAGCTTACGATTGTGGTTTTGAACCAATCGAAGAAACAGATTTTGAACTATCCGATATAGAAATTATTGAATATCTTTCAACCTCAGAAACCTCTTCAGATGAGTCAGAAGAAGGTTTTAACTAAGGGCAATCCTAACGCAACATTTATTAAAATTGAAATAGAGAAGAAAAGCTTCTTAGCATATATTGATACAGGGGCAACCTTATGTTTTGCCAAAAAATCAACCATAAAAAAATGGGATAAACTTGAAAAACCTTTAAAAATTATAGTGGCAGACAAATCTATCCATGAAATTTGGTATGTAAAACAATATGTACTAATAATCATTGAAAAACATATCTTCACAGCTAAAACAATATATCAACATGACTCAGGACTAGATATAATAATAGGAAATAACTTTCTAAAATTATATCAACCATTTATCCAAAGAATTAGAATAATCAGCCTTAGATGTCCTAAAACAATAGACCAGGAATCTAAGATAATCACAACAAGAATAATCACAAAAAATGAAGTGCTAAAAATTGTGCTTCAAAACCTCAAAAATAGACTAGAATATATACAGATTACTTATAGCATTCTAGAGGATACTTTAGACCAGGTGTGTAGTGAACATCCTTTAGATAAAGATAAAAATACCAATCAAGAACTTATCGAAATTAAACTAAAAGATCCTAAAATGGAAGTTAATGTCCCTAACAAAATTCAATATACTCAACGAGATGTAGAAGAATTCCAAAAGGAATGTTCAGAGTTAGCTGAAAAAGGAATAATACGAGAAAGTAAAAGCCCTCACAGTGCACCAGCCTTTTATGTAGAAAATAACAATGAAATCAAAAGAGGAAAAAGAAGAATGGTAATAAACTATAAAAAACTAAACGAACAAACAATAGGAGATAGCTATAAACTACCTAGGAAAGACTATATATTAGAAAGATTAAAAGGTCAAACTTGGTTTAGTAGTTTAGATGCTAAATCTGGATATTGGCAACTTCGTCTACATGAGAATACCAAACCTTTAACAGCCTTTTCATGTCCACCACAAAAACATTACGAATGGAATGTTCTCCCATTTGGGATGAAACAAGCACCAGCTATTTACCAACGGTTTATGGATCATGTATTAGAAGGTTTTCAATCGTTCTGTTTGGCATACATTGATGATATTATTATTTTCACAAATCAATCAGAAGAAGACCATCGTGAAAAAATCTTGATAGTTTTACAGAGAATAAAAGAAAAAGGTCTAATTATCTCTAAGAAGAAATCAAAACTTCTTCAAAAAGAAATTGAATATCTTGGTATGAAGATTAATAATTTGGGTGAAATTGAGTTGTCACCAAACACTAAAGAAAAAATCGATAAATTCCCAAACCAACTTGAAAATAGAAAACAAATTCAACGTTTTCTTGGATGCTTAAATTATATAAGCGAACAAGGATTTTTAAAAGATTTAGCAAAAGAAAGAAAACATTTACAGAAAAAGATTTCTGACAAAATCCCTTGGTCATGGAATGATCAAGACACAAAAATAGTTTTATTAATGAAAGAAAAATGTCAGCATTTACCAAAATTATATAACCCTTGTGAAAACGATTTTCTAATAATTCAAACGGATGCCTCTAAGGACACTTGGGCAGGGTGTATGTTAGCAATACAAAATGGTAAGGAATTATTACAAATGGACAATTTTGGTAATGTCAAAATAGACAATAACGAGGCTACTGTCTCTGGCCAAGAGCCTAAAGATTATCAGTCTTCGGACAATATTATTGAACTTTCAAGTTCTCAATCATCAGTTCCTTTCAACAGTGATAAATATTCTAAGAAATTATGTAAATATATTTCTGGAACGTTTACCGCCACTGAACAGAACTATCCGATCCACGAATTAGAGACACTAGCCTGTCTCAGAACATTGAAAAAATGGAAGCTTGAATTATTATCTACAAGGTTTGAACTTCAAACCGACTCTAAATATGTAACAGGTTTTTGGAGATACAAGCTTCAGGCAGATTTCAACAAAGGAAGATTAATCAGGTGGCAGCAACAACTCCATTATTACAATCCTTATCTGAAGTATATCAAGTCCAGCAACAATCCATTCACAGACACACTGACTCAAGAAT